ATGAGGCAGCATCACATGGCAAAAAATAAAGCATACACTGGACTTTTACCTGCGAGAAGTATCGACTGAGTACTGGCTGCTGGACGGCGGGAGTAGATGAACAGACTACAGTGGGCTGAGAAGCGGTCAGAACGGCGCAGGTGGACTGAGGGAATTGCAGCGGTTGGTGTGATGACACGACAGTAGTGTTCGAAGCAGCTGAAGTCGGAATCGTGGTAGTGGCCGAAACGACCGTTTGCACGCTGCTAGGTCCGACGGTCAGGCCCGGTAAAGAAGGGGAGGAAGAAGCAGGCGGCCCAGACTGAAGGAATCGGTGGTCGGACATCTGAATGAAGTTTGTGGGGGTAGCAGTAGCTTGGGTGCCGGCTGGAGGCAGAACTACCGCCATGGTACCCAGTTGCATAGGCGCACGCATTAGCTGACCGGGAGCTATTGACACCATTTGCGGTGTGGTTTGAAGCTGTTGGTTTGAGGCGATCATATAGGGCGATGAGATGTTGCCCATGTTTTGGGGTTGAGCCAAAAATATGCCACCTGTGCCCGGACTAAAAGGATTTTGAAAAAAGTATTTTCTATAGGTTAGAATGAGAAAGTAACTCGACCTATATCTCACTAAACCTTGTAAAACCAGCCAACGAAGGGTTGTACATGAAGAAAATTTAGAAGTGATCATTTACTTATGGGGTCTTACTTAGTCAGTACGATTTGCTGTCCCATAGGTACACCCTGGTAGATGTATGAGGAAGCCATCATTCCGGCTTTTGGCCTGCATGAATCATTGTTCTGCTGCATATGCGTTGTCTGGGGACGGGCAACCAGCGAAGGCTGCTGGGCAAGAGACGATAGCATGGAGAAGGTGACTGGAGTAAATGTGGCAGCAGCGGTGGTAGGCAGGTAGGGTGTCAAAGACCCTGACACTGGCGACGTCATCAGGGCAACGGAAGGTTGAATTACCGGTTGTGTGAAAGGCTGTGTTGCAGTGTGCAGTACCGCTGAGGCGGTACAGCTCGGCTGAGGACTCGGACAGTCACTACCGGACATGCAGGCAGTAGTGTTCGACTGAAGTGGCTGCACAATTTGAATGGGTTTGGGAGCACCTCCGGAAAGAGTTTGAATAGAGGTCACTGTTTGGGATGGTGTCCTGAGACACAAAGAAGGTAACAAAGGGCAGGTTATGTGGGAAGAGTATGCATTAAACTGTGTAAAATGAGGTGGGTCAAATTTTTGGACGTTAACCGTCTTAAGGAGTTAATATTCAAACGGGAAAGACATTTGGAACCAAACTCTTCGAAAATAGACCACGTGTATGTGGTGACTAGTTACGTTTATAAAAATGCGTACATAAAATCTGTTCTAGTGTGCCCGAAAGATTTACATAAATTTCCAAAATACAGATTAACGAGTTCTTCAAGGCACTAAGGCTCGTCAGGTTAACCTGGCTGTATGCCATATAAGCTCTTGACAGCAGCTCTGAGGATCCTCCGTAACTTATCAAGACGACTTTAATCAGGAATTCGTATGTGAGGGCACTGCAATTTCAGGACAAGTGTATAGGTCTATCTGGAGAAGCGTCTACTAGAAGGCCACATAGTTTTGCTCTCCGCATGTCTACTTAAGAGGACCACGGTGTGCACATCAATTTCGATGCCAAAGGAATGAAATTAAACGCTAGGAGACTGATAATACGATAGAAAGAATGCCGAAGGAAACATGTATGTTGAATCCATGAAAAGAAAAACATCGAAAGCCTGATATTTATTAACTGGAGTAAATTTTAAGCATGTGTTGATGTCGAAAATTCGCCATGCTCGAACCTTTTTTAATTACGAAGCGAGGGCGGGAACTTTGAAGTCCAAAAGTCTGGAAAGGACCATGTAAGTGGGGAATTTATCCCTAACTGGTCGTACATAGAAGTAAGAAATGGAGATATTACACAGTTTAAGATACTATCCTTAGACAGATGTGTCATTAGGAGACACCGAACGTATGTAAAGTAGGAGTCGAATTTCACTGGCGTCTATAATCTAAGTTGCTGAACTCGAACAAAGGTAGACAAAAGGTCTACTAAAAAATAATGAAGTGAGATACCTATACAATTTGATGCTAGAACCGCAATTCGATAAATATAATAGGCCCCTGACAACATTTAACTAGCTGCTACGTAGCCCTGCAGCAGCTACTCGGTGGGCTTGTGTTGAGTACAGTTTCGCGAAGGGACTCCTCAGCAACTTGTTCACACAGGGAATACTGATAGAAGTCGGCTTACGCTAAACTAGCTGCCAACTAAACGAATGGCCTACTTCATGACTACTTCAATGTTATTGAGGGTATCGCTGGGACACGCATAACCAACATGGGGGAAATCAACGTCGACTAATTACAGGCGACAGTAAACCGCTGAGCAGCCAAAAAGGAAAGAAGTGTTCGATCGGTACCAACTCTTTATTAATCTAGTCGACCCATATAGAAAAGCGTTTTTGAGAAAGGTAATGACCAGTTATAATTAACGTCTTACAAATCAATTAAATACTCACGGTTTGCGACTCATGACTTTCTAAGAGGGACGTCATCCACACCCATTGGGGGCAATAAGACAAGCATGCCCGGCAGAATTATTGCACACTTAAATAATATCCCAGGTCAACTACAAAAGCAGGGAACGAGAAAGGACTGATCCTCCAGAAAACGGTCACTCCACCGACAGACTCGAATTATTGACAACACATTTACCAAAAGATACAGTCAAACAAAATTGGCAACAATTTATGGAAAAACAAAACTGAAAGTTTATCGTTAAGATATGGCGATACAAATTGCTTGCAATCTATTAATGCCTCGGTACTACATATCTGTTTCAAATCTCTGCAGAGAGTTGAGGATAGGGTCAACAATTTTTCACAGGTAATGCCAAGACTCACCAAATTGTCTGTGCACAGACTTGAATAACAAAGTCACTCTGAAAGTCGATATTGATACTGTTGTTTCTGCATCGCTGTGTAACAACCCAAGAGACTGAATGATTGTTTTAGTACACCAAGGTCGGCACTTTTGGCGCGAACCCAGGATGGAGGAGATGTGATCGACTGTCTGCGAAGATGCCGGTGCCCGCCCCCCTTCACAAACGCTGACTCCCCACCCCACAACTCGTCACCGTCGTACTCGTATCGTTTCCCCTCACACTATGTCAGCACTCCCTCGTTCCTCCCATGCAGTTACCCCAGCGCTGCGCTCCCCACCGGTGATTGAACGGACATGAGAGAACACCCC